ATCCTTGCTATGGAACAACAGCAGCAACAGCAACAGAGTGCTACGACGACAACGACTATGCACGACGCGTCGAATAACGCGTATGCCGCCGCTGTAGTCGCCAGCGGTATGAGACCGCTGGCCGATTTGCCTGTGGCCATACCGGCGGCTGTTTTTCCGCGCCTAATTAGCATCAATCCGCCGACGGCGGGTAACCAAGGTAGTTCAATGATACTGGAAAGATTCGGATTCTTCACACATACGAGAGAAGACAGGACTCCAATACGTCACGGTCCTGCAGATCCGGCGACCTCGTTGATGGAACTGTTAGACGGTATTATCTTGTTCTATCATGTAGCGGCGAAGAAGCAGTTGGCCAAGGTGGCCAGTCTGCGCGACAGTATGTCCGCATATGTTAACGCGATCGCCGACATCAAGGCGAGACTCGAGTACGTTGAGCGAGAGATGGTTACGCGGCCGAAAGATCTCGAAGCAGAAGCGATTCAAAGAGAACTGCTCCGTACGACAGATATATTCAACAAGAAACTATCGGAGCAAGCGAGACACATGGCGTGGATCAGGGCCGCCGTGTACTCGGCGGAAAAGCAAGCGCAATTGGCCTGGCTGCTGAAAGTAGTCACATTGACCCTGCAGACTGCCAGTCAACAGGGATGCACGTTCAGTTTCGTGCCCGATTTTTATCTGGAGACACTCTCCGATCTGTGCGTCAGTCTGCGCGCTCATGTGCATCCCACCGCGCCGATCGAGAACATCTCGGATTATCGGGAGATGTTGCGCAACGCCGCCGAATTCCTGTGCGATCATTTCCTCGATCCGCGCATAGTACATGCCAACTCCAAAGACGTACTGATACTCACGCTCGCGGGCTTCGTGTCGAATCCATTGACGTTGGAGGCGTTGGAAAACGTACCGCGCGAAAGCAGGATAAAGGTCATCACGAATCTGCTTAAGCCTTACGAAAATAGAGCGTGGGCGCAGTCCAACTGGGTTTTGGTCAGATTCTGGCAGGGCAACGGCTTCGCTTTCCGATACGACAAGAGTCCGCATCTTTCGAAGAAGGTTGGCCCGAAACTGTTGCAGCAGAAATCTATCTCTCAGCCAATAAGTATGTTATTTTCTTTTTTTCTTTAATAAAGAGTATTATTCGTATTTTATTATTGTAAAACTAAAATGTGACAAATTTATATCAATTTGCAAAATACCAGGCAACGGAAACATCTCAAGGAGACAAAGTCTTTTAGATTTTTGTAAAAACCAAGATTTTATTTTAATTTCACGCGATAGTATCTTCAAGATTTATTTCAGAACCGTGTCCATCGGCGGTGTACCAAGCACACGTGAGAGATGTATTGTTAGGAAATTCTCAAGCGACTACGCAATTCTTGAATTCGCTATTGAATCAGTTAAATTGGGCATTTTCCGAATTTATTGGCATGGTGCAAGAGATTCACAATGTGTCATCGAGACCGGAGCGAGTGTTTATCGAGTCGAGGCAATTGAAGATCTGCGCCACTTGCTTCGATCTGGCAATCTCGTTGCTTCGAGTGTTGGAGATGATCTCTACGGTGGCTCCGGGCGTTTTTAGCGATCCCACGCAGTCTTCCAGCGAGACTTTACTGGCCAGATTATGTCAAGTAAGTGAGTGATATTATCTAGTAAATGATTGTGCTCCAATTGCTACGACTGCATCGTGATTTCAGTTACTCTGTCAAGTGTTGAACAGAATGAGCTCGCAGACGAGTTGTTTTCAGCATGTGGTGCTTTTGGAGATACCGGATCTAGAATCTGTAGATCATTTTCCTATATTAGCTGCCGTTATCGGTATTCTGCTGGCTCTTCTCGAAAAAGAAATGAACGATTTTGCAGGCAAGTATTAAAATTCGTAAAAAAAATTTTTGGAAGCACTTCATCTGTATATATAGAAAGGGTCTTAATAATTGTATTTTCCCTTAATCAGAGAAACCGACGATTGAAGTGCCTAGAATTACGCGAAGCTTATTGACAGAGCCGAGCTTCCAGATCAGTTCTCTATATTTTGTTTTGGGCGACACAAAGTTGAAAAATACAACGACGAAAAATGTAAAGCCATTCTCATTACTAAATTGTAAGTATCTTGAGTAATACTTTTTAATGTAAATATAGTACTAATTGTAAATGTACTCACATTTCTTCAACATTCATTTTATCTTAATATTTTTAATTAATCATATTTCGTTTTTTCTTCATAGATCAGGAAGATGTGACGGCGGAAGAAATTGGCCGAGTAACGAAGATGATAAAGTATCTCGATACCTGCCGCACGCTTTTACCCGATACCAAATTCATAAGCGACGACGATGACACTTGCACAATTTGCTACGCGTTTCCAATCGCCGCTACGTTTAAACCGTGCAATCATCAAACATGTCGTACCTGCATAGATCGTCATCTACTCAATACGAGAGAGTGTTTCTTCTGTAAAGCGACCATAGATAAAGTCGAAGATCTAAGCGGGAACACGTTGCACGATTTTATCAGTCAATTTGCAATATCGAGAGCGACTTCTTGATCCAGTGATAAAGGTCACCCCGCAAAGGTTGCATATACTGTATTAAAGAATCCTTTAATCCTCGCAATATATATATATACTCGTCGCGTTGAGCATTCATAAAACTATCGTATAATTTTCATCGTAATAAGGAATTCTTCTGTAAAAATTAGGATAAAGTGAACGGCACAGAGAGATTATATAAAGTATCAAGAATTCTTTATTCATATATATTCACAAGTATAACATATGCATCTACTATATATTGAGCAAATTTTGGCAATGGAAGATATCAAAGGTATAAAAAAATATCGACTTTGTGCAAAGAAGTTGCGCACATAAGCGAGTTCATAGATAAAAAAAAACTTATTAATAAAAATTATATATACATCAGTCTTTTTCTTATCTATCTGAACAAAAGATAAAAAAAAAATATGGCACAATTACAAATCGGCTTTCCCAATTGTGTTTCCCATCAGCATTTCGATTCCACATATATGATCTGTAGACAACATAACAGTTGAGACAGATCGTCATTAATGATAATAAATCTAATCTTCCATACAGATTACGCAATATATGATGTGTATTTTGAGCAACAGTAAACATAATATTTATACGCATAGACTTTCTTTGAACTGTCTGAAACCGGTGACCAATGGCGGCGAATTAGACGGCGTTTTATAGAGATCCTGAAGAGTCTCCAGAAATACGACGCCGCAGACGAAGGCGCCGAGCGCGGTCAAGAAAATCGCGAAGACGATCAATAGGCGGTTTTTGTTCAAGTACAATTCCAGGTCCCTGAGAAGTACGTTTTGCAGGAGGCAGATGCCTGGCAGCATGAAGATGAACATTGCGGACAATGCTCCTAGTAAGTTGATGACCGGCGAGATATCCGGCACAAGAATAGCGATGACCAATGATGAGATAAACCAGATCAACGTAACAATCACACGAACCCCAATTCGATCGAGATTAACATTAAAGATACCGAGAAGCGCGTCTCGTCCGCAGTACAGGACGATGGGATAAGTGGTAAAATTCTTGACGGCGACCGCGATTATCGCCACGGTCAGCACGACACTCTTTTCGGTGTAGCCTTGTAGGATATCGCTCGGTACCTTGCCGCTGCCGAATGTGAGGTAGCCGAAATAACCGACGATGCTGTACGCACCAAAACAGATCAGCATGCTGATCACGACGCATAGCGTGAACTTGCTCAGACGACGGTCCTTCATGCAGGCATAAGTTGGTATTGCGGTCATGTGGCTCTGTATTAAATATGTATATAAATATGCTAAGATTTGTAGATATATCATTTTAAGTAATAATTTTTAATGGTATATCTTTTATATAAATAATATAAAAGTTTTGATAAGACTTATGTATTAAGATAATATACGAAAAAATTAACGAGGAACATTAAGAAAAGAAAAAAAAAGGGAGAATATAAAATAATAGATTAAAAACTCAAATACCTGATAAGCAAAGCAAATGATGGGTATTATCTGTAAAATTTCGTATCCATTGTCTGGCCAAATTTTTATAGATGGTACAGTGTCAGTCTGTTGTGTGATGCTTTTATAAATTATTAAGCATACAACATATATCATGGTTATACATCCAATAGAGCTTGTGTATCTCAAAACGTCCAGTCTTTTAAAAAAACATAAAGGCAATATGAATATACTGCAGGATAAAGCTGTCACAAATGGTCTGGATAAGTACCTGTAATATTTTAAATAGTCTTTCTACGACTTGAAGAAATTTTACAGATATTGTATCTTTTTCTTTTTTTTATTATGTGCGATAGTTACCAAGTATGACAATAATCGAGACCGTAATATGTAGCGAAGACTCTATCAAATTGATCGCCAACTATTATTAGAAACGTTAAGCAGCAACCAAAGCTGTAAACAGCTATGCAAATTCCGCAGAAAATAAGAGATTTATATCCGCATAATGCAGCAAATGTGTCTTGCATAGTATTGCTGCCTGTGCTGTCGCTGCAACTGGCTAATATTATCAGTGTAGCTGTGATAAACACAAGAAAACCAAATTGCGCCAGGACAGAAGTTCCTACTCCACCGGCCTTATCAAAGGCCTGTGGAAAATTTAATAAACCAGCGCCCAATGTAGTATTCACAATTAAAAAGATTGTTCCCAAAATACCAGCACCTGAGATAGGAAAATAACCTTGAAGAAATCTGCTTTATCTCAGTATTAGCTCTTCCATATCCTACCGTGATATTAACATTCTTTATATTATTGTAGTTTAAAAGTTTAAATAATCCAACAGAGACAGAGAGATAATGTTAGTTTAGTTTATTCAATTTTAATTTATTTTACTAATTAAAGGCGATCATATGCAATCACTTATAGATTTTAATATTAACGGGGACGGACAGATTGAGATAATACTTTATACCTATTATATATCGTCATATTACCTCTTCGAATTTCATTATTACGCGCAGCTGAAGGACTCGGTGCAGTCGACAAAAACAAATCATTGTTGCTCAGCCACTCGGAGTCGCCCGTTAGATAATCCATGTTGGATTAGACACGATCACTGAAAGACTCTAGCGAGGTTTCAGCTTTGTTCCCCGTGACGAATACTCCTTCCGGTACACAAAGTTCATATATTACATCCGCGTGTGCGCGGATGGAGTGAAATGGAGATTAGGCTCGAGTTTGCCGGCGACACTCCGTCGATTTCTTCGAGTATTCTCGACAGAAAAATATTCATCGCCGACGATATCTCGAGAAGGAAAGGTAAACACGCGACGTGAAACGACCGCGTCTCATACGGCTATGTTTCAACGTGCATTTACGTCAAGCTTTCGCGGTATATCAGTAAGTTGACTGCACGTGTATAATATATTATGTATCACCTCTGTATATTTTAAATCCTATCGCCTTAACTACATTTTATTTCAATTTTCTTTGTTCCTCTGATTATGTACTTAATATTGATTGTGAAAAGTATATATAATGCAACTGGATAAAACAGACTTCAGGTTATTAATAAATGCTGCATTTTCTGCATTTAATAAAAAATAATTCTAGATTGTGAGCATAGTACACAAAAGACAGATCAAAAAATAATATTTGTAATTACATATTTATTAATAATATAATTATATATATTATTTAAAAATTATTACTTATTGATATCTTGTATTTCAACTACATTTAATTATATTTTTATGTAATTAGATAATTACTTAGTTTCTTTATTTATTAAAATATTAATATATAATTACTTTATTATAAATTTAATTCATAGAAAATGTAAGAAAGTCTCTAGCTAAAAGATAAGCAAAAGATAATGTGCAATTTTTCAAAGTTTGATGAAGTTAACAAATCCTTTGCTCAAATCCAATTCTCCCTATCCCTTTTGAGCAATGTTTTGCATACTATAGATAAGCGATGAGACTTGGGAAGACCACAATAAGAAAGATGAATAAAACCAAACTGTTGCAGTTACTCTCTCGGCTATGGAACGGACCTAATGGCGTACTTGCAGGTAAACAGGCCGAGCAAAAAATGATATCTATCCTGAGAAACAGGTTTCCTCAAGCCCAACTGATTGAGGTTACCGATGTGTCAGGTAAACATTTCATACTTAGTGTAATATTCTTTTAAACACAATTTTTTTTTTAAAGAGAGAGATATAACAAGAAATTCACTTTAATTAATATAATTATAATTGTATTCTAGGAGGATGCGGTGCTATGTTTGACATAAATGTGGTTGCTCCAGAATTCAAAGGACTCAATACTGTGAAGCAGCATCGAATTATTAATGAGGTGGTTCTTTCTAAGAGAAAACTATAATAACATCAATGGAAATACAATATTATAAATCACTTTATTTGATGAATGCTTACAGATACTTAAAGAAGAAATTAAAGATATGCATGGTCTTCGAATACGTACGAGTATTCCACAATCGTAAATTTTGCTATAGATGACTGTGTTGTTATATTAGTTTCATAAGAACAATATTTAATATCAATTTTTAGCTCGAAACTGTACAAAACCTAAAGATCCACATTATGTACATTTTTATGTAAAATGTAAATTTTAAGAAAGTGCTACAAGAAAAGAAATAATAGAGATCTTTGGAATGTCTTTTGTTTTTTTTATTAAATGTGCGTGATTTATTTATATCGAAATTAAGCAATTTAATCACGAAAAATATTAAAAAGATAATTTAAACACATAATGAGAAATAATAGGATTCCTACTGTTATTATTATTAAAAATTTGTAAAATGCATTATTGCAATATCTGTTATGTAGTATTTTTATTATTGAGTGTTACATAATTATTATTATATATATCGCCTATATAAAATACAAAGGAAGATAACTACACAATTGAGAAAATGCATCACAAATGAGAGCATTATAAATATGAAAAAAAAATTGTGTCAATTACAAAATAATCAAGATATAATATAATTAAAATATAAAAGGAAAATTGCAGTTTTTGTTAATTAATTATGTTTTTATTTATTTATATATTAGGTCTACTGGAAAGTTCTGTCCGTTTCTATCACAACAAGTCTCGACAGTCTCGACACGTAAGCACATGTTTGAATACAAATTGCCCTCACGCTGGCAAGAAATCATTAATAAGAATGGCAATTACATTATTTAATAAAGTTTATTGACGGTAATAAAAATTTGTATTTTGTTTTATTCCAAAAACGGACAGAACTTTCCGGTAGACCTGATATTTTAATAACATCGTAAAGTAGATGTGTTATGTAATTCCAAGCAGCTGTAAGATGGATGTAGAGGCGCCAGTGTATGACGCGCAATCATCGGCACCCGGCTCCCGGCTGACCCGGCACCGTGGGCATATGTCATGCGTCGAAACATTTTATACGACAATAAGATATAGGACAGGATTGCTGCGTAATTTGCGGATGCAAATCATATCACTGTTATATCGGCAATCAAAGGAAGAATAGCAGAGGAATTGTGAACGAGTACCAAAAATGAAAGCCTTGAAAATTTGTAGATATTTCAATGGACCATTGATCAATTTTCAACATTCATTCTCCAACAAGTATATCTAATTTTATCTTATTATTATTTAATTGTGTTATTCATCGTAACAGGCTATTTTATCTTGTGATTTTTGTGTAAATTCGTTTCTTTTGTTTATTTTTTATTTTTGCTTCCTCATAGAGGAAGTTTTGTTTTCGTGAAAAATTTTGTTTTCTCTTTTCTATGCCAATGTATTTAGGATGTTCTAATCTAAAACGCCGAAAAATCATATTTTTAGAAAATGTCCGTATGTGTGTATGTGCGCCAAAAGGGCGGTTGCTTTAACTTTCGCAAATTTTGAGATATCAAGCTAAACTTTTTTACATGAATAAAGTATTATTAAAGGATGGTTGATATTGAATTTGATGAGGATTGGTGAAAGAGTTCATTTCTTATGAAATTTTGAATTTTTCAATAAATGTCTGCACACTCTAATTTTTGCAAATTTTTGAGATATCATACTAAATTGTTTTACATGAATAGAATATCATTAAAGGATGGTTGGTATTGAATTTGACTAGAAATGGTGAAGGGGTTCATTTTTTATAAAATTTTGAATTTTTTGAAAGATGTTTGTACATGCTCTAATTTTCGTAAATTTTGAGATATCGGATTCATTTCCTGTTTTCTTCTCTCAAGTTTCTCTATAAGGAATCCAAAATTGAAAAACTCACTTGCGTTAAGAAGTTTAAGCTTTATAAGTGAAATAAAATGATGAGGAAGCAATGTGCAAGTTTTAATTTGCACAATTTTCATCTTGTTAAAACATTAATTGGTTATTAACCTTGTTTTTTTTTATTAGTTATGTAAATTTTTGAAAAAAAATACTTATTTATAGTTTATAGAAGGTTGATATTTGACTTGTTTTACAGATTGTTTGAAGGTAGAAAGATTGATAGAATAGACAGAGCAATATCGACAGTGGATCCTAAAGATATTAAACATCATTCTAATTTAAAAAATAATTGGTGGGATGAAAACAGTCCAGTAAAGGCTCTTCATGTATTCAATCCGCTCAGAGCGCAGTTTGTAAGAGATGGTTTGGCCAATGCTGGATTTAAATTACAAAATCCAGCTCTTCCGTTGGAAGGAGTCAAGATTGCAGATATTGGCTGTGGCGGAGGTATATTGACTGAATGTTTAGCAAGAATAGGAGCACATGTAACTGGACTAGATGCATCAACAGAATTGATAGATATTGCCAAAGAGCATATAAAATTGGATCCTATTACATTGGAAAGAGTAAATTATATTCAAACAAGTATAGAAGAGTTTTCCCCCCAAAATGAGAAATTGTATGATGTTGTTGTAGCTTCTGAGGTCTTAGAACATGTAGAAAATCCAGAAATATTTTTAAAGGTAAACTGTGATAAAAACTACAAGAATCACAATACACATTACAAATATTACAAGAATCATTATAAATATGAATGAGTCACTTTAATAAAAATTTTTTACAGGAATGTGTGAGAATTCTGAAACCTGGTGGATCAATTTTTGTAACGACAATAAACAAAACTGTAACGTCTTTGCTCGGTGCTATTATAATAGCAGAATATATCCTTAATTGGATACCACGTGGTACTCACGAATGGAATAAGTTTATTGCTCCACATGAAGTACAATGTATATTGGATAACTGTAAGTTTCATGTTATCTATATATGAAGAAGGAGTTATCAAAAAGCATTTTGTGTTATCATGTTCATATAATTATAACAAGTTTATAATAATTCATGCAAATATTACATTTTATAAGAAGCTTTCATTATTATTGTGTTATTATGTTTAATAGGTGGCTGCAAAACTGAATTAATTCATGGAATAAAATTTAATCCACTAACATATCAATGGTCTTGGTCATCATTTGCGCCTATTCATTATGGACTTCATGCAGTCAAGCAAAAGGAAACTAGAATATGATGATAGTCCTTGGTAAATTTTTTTTTATAAAATGCAAAATTGATACATTTTTATATATTGTTTATAACATATATTGTAATCTTAATTGATATATCATATAATGTTTCATTATGTTTTATTTATATTATAGAAATATAAGAAACTTTGGAGAAAATGATATTTGAATAAAATGGAGAAGGATTAATATATAAAATCAATATATAAGATATATAAAAGGAATATATATTTTTTATTTTTTATTCAGACAATATATAGCTTATAATAATATCATATTATATGTTGATATATTAAATTATTGGAAGATATTGCATACATCTTCGTTTTTAATTTAAAAAAATATCACATCCGCATATAACAATGTACTACATGGATAATTATAAGTAAAAATTGCAAGACAATAAGCATCAAATGCTATTTAAAAGAAAAACAGAATTTTACTTAATTATTTGCGATGGTAAATTAGATCTAAGGTGTAATGGTAACTTTAAGAAAAGGCAAACGACGATTTATTTTGCTGGGGCGAATCCCACTCGATCGTTGTCCAAATCGAATTCGGTGTAATAACGGCCGATAAATACATCGCCCAAGATCCATTGCAGTTCATGCGATCCAAGATCAAAACCCATGAAACCGCTGATACAGATCGTGGTGCCAAATTGTTTGATCTGCAAAGAATTAAATATATAGTTTGAGATTTTCTATTTTTAAATAATTCAAACTGAATTATGATTTATGATACTCACCTGAAGAACGTAATCCTCACCAGAGAGACTGAATGTCTTACCACCCAGAACAATATCGATTGTAGGCAACTGAGGAATCTGATTGCAATTCACCTTTGAACAAAGACATCAAATTAGTAATTAAAAAAAAAAAAAAAAAAAAATTATATTTCAATAACATTTCACAATCTTTTTTGTGAAATCTGTACCATAGTATGTAGAAGAGTATGATTGTTTACTTACTATTGCCTGTCCACTAATAGAAGTAGCTCCAATTAGCTTGTTAATAACTGCAACGTCTGCTGTTGGTCCAGCTATTAGGGAGGTGCCTGTATCAGCGATAGCTTGGCAACCATTCGGACATAGGGTCTGACCACTTATATTGATCCTACAACGCGATAATATTCATCAATACATGATTAGTATAATTTAAAAAATAATGTACCTATCCAGTGCAAACTGCCAGTATCCTTTGCGAGTAACAGGAACATATGTGAGCTCGCCATCGTAATGAGCAGGATCAGAACCACCTAATAGCATTTCCCCACCTTCCTTGGCTGAAGGATCTCTGTGTTATATATTTTTTTAAATATATATATATTTTTTTATTAAAAACACTTTTAGACATGCACAATGCATATTGTGAGAAGATACTTGCCGATTTAGATAAAAGCTGAAAACGCCTTGTGGTACCAACTTTTGTTTGACCATGTTGTAGAAGACAGGTGTCACTCCATCAACAGCTATCGTAGAATAACCCATGCCCAAGATACCATCAAATTTTGCAGCGACGAATGCATAACCTGGCTCGCTCATCGCTTCTGCGAATGTTTGGTTCTGAACATTGAGACCAGCAACCTACAAAGAAATTGATATTAATGATAAAATATTGCGCGTTTCGTTCCAAGGAGAGTAACAACGTGAATGCTTAAGAAACGTTTATAAACTATTATTGAAGCATTGTATTGAATGTATTGTATTATATTTATTTATCTATGACTTACATTCACTACATCAGTAGATAAATATCCAGATAGACTGCCAGAACCATATTGAATAGCAAATTCAGTACCATTTGGTGTATATGTGCTGGATTTTTTACTATTATATTTATGATGTAACACTGTAAAGAATAGTAAAAGTAAAATCGAGTTAGTAATATTAAGGAGATAGTAAAAATAGATCTTTTTATTAATCTAAATATGCAATTATTAATTGTTTAAATGTTTGAACCATTAGTATATGGATGTATTTGTTGCTTTAACTTGTGAATTATCTTTAGGTGTCAAAGGTTAGCATCTTGAGAGTAAATATGATAAATTATGAGTATGATAAATATGTCTGCAAATTATAGACTGCTTCTGTAATATTTATTCTATCAATGATTTTAATTTTTACAATTGTATCTACCCAGCTTTTTTAAAATAATTTTTTATATAAATATATATATTAAGATACTTACAGCACGCAATGTTAGTAAAATGGCAATTTTTGGACGGTACCCAAAGATTTGAGGAGCCAGTATCAAAAATTACTTTAAAATCCTGCGGTGGAGTTCCGATACTGATAACACCATAATATTGAGCATCCAAATAATTGGACAAAGGTTCTGGTACAGCATTAACTTCAGTCAAACGAATTTGTTGCAGATCAGTGTCAACTTCCTTCAAAACTTTTCTGATAGAATCCATCTTGTGCAATTGAATTCTTGAAGTAACATAAAAGAAATTTTGTTATATGCATATATATATATATATATATATACACGAGGATCGAAAAGTAACTTGGTTCAAAATAACAGACAATGGTTTTAAATTCAAGTTACAAACAAAACAAAACAAAAAAAAAAGAAACAAAAACAACTTTCTTTTCGATCCACCTTCGTATACATTTGTCTAATATATATTTATATCTTTACTAATAGCAGACATCCCCCAAAAAATATGAGTCATGAGAAAGCTATAAAAGTTCACCTTTTGTCTCAGAAAACAACATTATCTTATATATTCACGATAAAAATACAAAAGATAATGTGTGTTTATAAACATAATTATATTATAAATTTTAATTATCTATTGATGAGATTTATCTAATTTACATGATTTATGTTGCATATATATCTGATTAATGGAATATATCATATTTAATTTATAAAAAGTCTTATATGACATAATTTTATAATTTAACAAACTCTGATTTTTAATTAAAGATAAAACCATTGCATGCAATGGTGTACAAGGAGATAACTCAAAATGAGATGACTGTATTTATTGCTAAAAATAGAATACGAATATAGAGAGTGTCAAGTAAATAAATAACAAAGAGCAATTCACTGGTATTTATAGTTTATTTATGCATCAGAAAATAGTTCTCTTTTTTATAATTAGATGTTTTGATCGTGAATCATGATATTTATGCCAATCTTATTTAAAAACACGATGAGATAGGCAAAAATGCAAGCTTCGCGAATTCACAGAAAATCTCATTCATGAACATTTTATCTTTTTACTAATAAAATGCATCATTATAAAGAGATTTTGTTCACAAAAGAAAGATTAGTTATATTTTCGCAGGTTTCGTCTCGATTCTAGAAAAACCAGTGAGACATAAGTGAAGAAGACTGATCTTTATATAATCTCGGTATTTATCAGCTGATATATAACACAAAACAATAATGTATGTGTGTGTATGCTCACCTTTGGATCTCCGCGTCGATTAGCACAAAGAGTGCCGCGGCCGCCACGAAAAATCGAAACATGTTTCCGAATTTTCCTTTAGATCGCGAATTTTTGAACGTCTAATTTCTTTCCGTACCTCGCTTGAATCGGACAAACTGGAAAAAATAACGCGCAAAGGATCACTAATGCTCTTGTCACAGGGTTACAGCGTCACAGCTGTTTATCGACATGCGGCGGCGTTATATATACAGTCACGCGCGCCTGCGCCTGCGCTTGGATAAGGTGGGAGATGGTAATATGACAGACAATGAGCGGAATATTCGAAAACTCCGATGGGTCTCTATTGATCAATTCCAAAAATATCCAGCTCTATATGCACGCGCATTTTCTTAAAATTAGCACAATTTGTGTTTAAATAAATCATTAAATGATTAATGAGGAAAAAAATAATTAGCGCTTCGAAAGAATACTCTGTCTACGTTGATTAGACAACCATGCAACAATGGACTTTACAAATGATGATATTTTACTTGCAAGAAATAGAACTGTAATTGGCAACAAATCCTATTAATATTAGCTAGCTTCGTAACAAAGTCTCGCGTTTTTTAATATACAAATTATGCAAAAATATATATCGGCGATATGCAAACTTTTTATTGTGTGGCGATAAGAAAAGATTTAAGTATTCTTCTTATCGAAACCTGTGCGGATGAATTTTAATAAAACTAATAAGGAAGTACACACAATGAAATATCTTTTTTTTTTGATTTAATGGATTTTTATTCTGGATTTGGAATACAGCTGACCACCGTCATTTAAAAAAATTTTTCTTATTTTATGTTTTTTTTTCTTATTTATGCAAGTAAAAAACAGTCCACTTGTTTTCTTTTATTTATCTTTTTTATTTCCATAAATATCTGCTCTTATTTCATTTACCATTTCATCGAAATATTGTGTGCTTGGTTCCTACTTGGTTTTAAATTAGATGTTTCAAAGTAAATCAATATTTCAAAAATCACGATAGCAAAAAAAAATTGAAAATATATATTGTATTAACAAAAACATAGAAGCGTAAAAAAATCGTTTTATTTTATTTTTATAAAATTTGTTTTAAAGAGAAGATCTCTTAACATATATTAATTTTAAATAAATCCGTAAAAAAATGTTCAGTGATAAATATCGCTGAAAAGTCAAATCTATTCGATCAATTACTCTGAAATCGACAGATTTAGCAGCGTAATAAACCCACTTAAATATGACATTCAAGAACAATTTGCTATATTTCCTAGGTCCGGATCATGAGATAATCCTTGTTATTAAACAGTAACAGAGAATGCTGTGACGCCAACGACACACAAGGCGTCAAATACTGAGTATACAATCATCCATTGTCACTGATATTGTGACGATTATGAGTATCTTGTAATCATAAATTTTGTTATGGGGACAACTGTGGTGTTATATTAATTTCATAAGAACATTTAATAGTGATTTTTATTTCGAAACTGTACGAAATTCAAAGATATACATTATATATATTACTATCGTGTAAAATATAAATCTTGTGAGAAAGAATTACAAAAAGAAATTTTATAAAAGAGATAATAGATATCTTCCGAATATTTTATTCCTTTTTATTAAGAAAGCGTGATTTATTTATATCAAAATAAGATAGTTTAATAACAAGAAATATTATGAGGAAAAAATAATTTAACCATATTAAAAAACTACAGGATTACTATTGTTGTTACTATTAATAGAGAATAATTTATAAGACATATTACATTACATTCTCTGTTATAATATTAATTTAATGACTGTGAACTGTTGCATAATTATTATTAGATAAATAGGGAGAAAAAATAAGATATATATATTGAAAGAAAATAATATACACTTAAAAATAAAAGTAAGAAGGGCTAATATATAAATTTATATATGGGGTATATAAAAAGAAAATATATTTTATTTTAATAGATTTATTTAAATTTAAACAATATACGTTTTAATACGGTATTATATACTGAAAGATATATCTCAGATTACTGATGGAAGATATCGCATACATCTTCGTTTTAATTTTCGAAAACATTATATATATCCGCTTATAACGATAAATCGCATAGATAATATTATAAATAAAAATTACACGAGACAGTAAGCATGAAATGTTATTTAAAAAAAAATATTTTAGTTTATTCGCGCAAAATTATCATTTACGTCTACTAACAGCTCTAATGGTAACTTCCAGAGAAGACAATCATTTATTTTGCAGGGGCAAATCCCACTCGATTTTTTCCCAGATCAAACACTGTGTAATAACGGCGAATAAATACATCGCCCAGAGTCCATATCGGTGAATTAGATCCCAAGAAACCGCTCAAACATATCGTGGTGCCGTCCTGAGCTGGCTTCTACGAAGAATTAAGTACATAGAATGTGAGCTTTTTAATCTTAAATAATTCAAACCGAGGATAACGAATCATACGATACTCACCTTAAGAATGTAATCCTTACCGGTAAGGGAGAATCTGTTACCATGCGAAATAAAACGAATTACAGGCAATTTATGAATATTATTGCAGTTCACCTTTAAAAAAAGATAATATCAAATTAGTGTAATCAATAATATAACACATATATTTATTTATACTTTAGTAACATTTTATAATTTTTCTATAAAAGATTGTGCCATTATAAAAGGTATAATTATCTACTTACTATTGGGTCTCCATTACTATCAAGTTTAGCTCCAATATGGCTATTAATAATGTCGATTTCCGATGTTGGTCCAATTATTAGTGAGGTACCTGTACTAACGAGAGCTTCGCAGCCATGTGCGCACACGGATTGACCTGGTTTGTTTGTAGTTCTAAGTATTCTGATCCTACAGCGCGATAACGTTAACAGTTTGTTGGAACATAACAAGTAATTAAGAAAAAGACGTACCTTTGCATAGTAATTTGCCAGTATCCTTTACGTTTACAACTAACAGGAATATATGTGAGACTGCCACTGTAATAAGCGCGATCGAAACCACCCAATATCAATTCACCACCTGCCTTGGCTGAAGAATTTCTGCATAGATCGTTTTTTCTATACTTTAATATATACATGTTTTTTATTTAAATCCTTTTTTTGAGAGACATGCGCTGCGTTTGGAAAGAAGATACGAACCGACTCAAATAGAAGCTAAAAACAGGTTGTGATACTAGCTTTTGTTGGAGCATATTGTAGAAAACAGGCGTCACTCCATCGATGGATGTCGTGTCATAGCCCATACCCAAGATACCGTCAAACTTTGCAACAACGAATATTATGCCTGACTCGTCAATCGCTTGCGCAAATATTTGATTTTGAACATTGAGACCGGCAACCTATAATAAAATTGATATTAAAATAATAAAATGTCTCTGAGCACGAGAATAACAATATAATTGTTTAAGAAATATATCAACTATGATTATAGTTGTAATTGAATTGGATTGTTTGTTTAATGATGACTCACATTCACTACATCAGTAGATAAGAATCCAAACACACTGCTATTAAAGCCATACTCAATAGAGAACAGAGTACCATTCGGTTTGAATGTTTTGGATTTTGTATTATCATATTTATTATGTAATACTGTAAAGAATAGTAAGTAATATCACAAGTTAGTAATATTAAAAAGATTTTAAAAATAGATTTTTTTTATTAATCTAAATAAATAGCAATGCTTGTTTTGAAATATCAGATGTATGTAAATGCATATATATAAATGTTGCTTTAATTATTAAATTATTTTTGTGTATCAAAGTTTATTTTTATCTTGAGAAAGTGAGTGTAATAACTCAGACAGCACAAAGAAGCAAAAAGATATCTTAAAAATGTCTAGAAAACGATAAGACTTTTTTAAGGAAATAATTAAATAAAATTTACTTCAGCGTTGTTTGCTAGACAGACATATATCTTTAACAATAAGCTGCATAGATGGTAGTTTATGAGTAGTAATACATATATGTTATCCAACACGTGGTGATAAATGGTATGTCCATCTAAAGAACGATGATAAGCTTATATGAAATATATATTATATGAAACTTAATAATTCCTCTTTTATTAAAAGATGTAGAAAAAAATAATTCAGGTCTTTTCGACTTATTATTCATGAATAAATATCGCTATATACTTAGCGGATGTGAATCAGTTATTATTGTGTGTATATACTAACTGTAAATTACTTACAGCAAGCAACGTTAGTATCGCTGCACTTATTGGATGGTACCCAAAGATTTGAGGAACCAGTGTCAAATACTACTGTAAAGCTTTGCGGTGGAGTTCCGATACTGATTTGACCATAGTACTCCACGTCTAAATAATTGATCAAATGTTCCGTTGCAATTTTATTTTTTCCGCATGGCCGATTAAATTGTTTCATGTCGGTGCCCATCTTTTTCAAAGTTTTTCGAGCAGAATCCATCTTGTACAATGGAATCCTTGAAATAACATAAAAAATATTTTGTTACAGCAAATATTTTTTAAGAAAAATATGTTATGAGGAAGCTATACAAATTCAACCGTCGCAGAAATCAACATTATCTTACGTATATACAATATAATTACATCATGCATTTAAACATAATTACATTAGAAATTTTATAATATACTATATAAATCAATGATCTTTTTAGATTATATGGTTTACAGATTGCATATATGTATATTTAAAGTATTATTCAATTTATAGTTTTAAGTTATAAATATATAGTCATTATAACTTAACAAATTCTGATTTGTAATTAAACATTGTATGCAATCTTGATACAATCACGAGAGTAATTAATTTCTATAATTTTAAAATTTATCACTATTTATCGATATACTATAATGCAATATAATATACTGACCTCTGAATCTGCGCGTCGATCAGCGCAAGAAGCGCTGTGACCACTAGAAGAAGACGAAACATGTTTCTGAAATTTTCGGCGACTGAGGCTTCGAATTGTGAAATTTTAAACCTTCAATTTTTTTCTGTCTTACAATCAGACGCACAAAAAAATAAAATACATATAGTATAATCGTTTACTAGCACTTCTCTAACACTGATATATATTGTTGCACAAATCTATGCTTAAAGCGGCAAAAGGAGGAAAGAATTTGGTGATAAGACACATGTGTACGTTTGAAAAGCTTACGATAAGTTTCTATCAATCATTCAAAATTAAAAATATTGTATTCCGCATGTATTTTCCTTAATTATATAACACATACAACGTGTATTTAAATAAATTATTAAATGTGTATGATTAATGAGAAAAAAGCAATTTCCGTTTTGAAAGAATACATTTTTTTACATCAATTAGACAGATAACCAGGCAACAATAAATTTTGCAAATGACATTTTGTTTGCAAAAAGCAATACTGTAATTGGCAACAAGTTTCAATTAGCTACTTTCATAATAAAACATCGCACTATTCAAGATTAAAGCACAATTACATACAAATTATGTGAAAATTTATGTTGATGACATGTAAATTGTTAGTTGCCGATAAAAAAAAAATTAAATTTTTTTTTTTAAATCAAGGCCTGTGTGGATAAATTTTAATAAAACCGAAAATAAAGAACTTTGAATTAGAGATGTGGACGAGGTTTTAAAATAAATCAATGTTTTAAAAATTGATTAAAAGAAAAAATTTACCGATTATATTAAAAAAATATACATATATAGAAGCGTTGATTAATCGTCTTATTCTATTTGTAAGTAAAATTTATTTTTTAATGGAAAATCTTAAATTATATTATTTATTTCGCAATTTATATTTTCTTTTTATTATTTTTATACAGTTTTTTATATCTTATAAATTTTTAGAAAAAAATTCATTAATAAATATAACTGAAAAAGTTTGAACCATTTCGAAGATAACGAAGAGAGGGTTGTATAAGTTCTTATGTTGTTAAATTCAATGTATCTGTACATCGTCTTTGTATTGTTTTCTCTAATAGACTAAGCGTCAATTTTGAGACATTTATATTTGCAAAATATAATTATTTATATGATTAAAACGCTTTTATATATTTTTTATAAAAAGCACACACACACACACATTTTATTTTATTTTATTATTTATTATAGAAGCAATAACTAAATAAGATAGTGATACATTACATTTATATATATACATATATATTTATCAGCATTATTAAATATTTTTTAATACTGTCGGAAAAATTAATATTTTGGAACAATATTTTTTTAAATGACGCAATTTTATAATATTTAATAGCAAATTTCTTATAAATTGGAAAGTGTGGGACAATTTATGATGCATAAATGTATTAGTTGTAATATTCTTTTCAATGCAATTTATCTTTAAAGAGAAAGATATATATTACAGCAAGAATATCGCTTATTGTTAATGTAATTGTAAATGACGCAATTTTATAATATTTACAAGTGCGTTACATCTTTTTTAGGGGTAAAAATTAACTAACTAATTATACTGTTAAATAATAGACGGAACAGCCAAAAAGTTGGCATCGAAGATAGTTCGAAGGAAGTTTAAATACTACGTTCAAAAGATGATATTCACTTAGATAAGTACATAATATATGCGTGCAACGTACAATGTAGAAAGGTAATCTCTTATATGCGCCGATCATCCACATAATTATCGAGCATTTAGTCAGCAAACTTGTAAATGTTTTATCATTTTTGTAGACACTGCATTTCTGCTTGCCAATTATATCATATTGATTTCAACTACTTCTGGTTGCATTCAGAATTTTATAGGATATTGAAAGTAGAATAAGCTTTGTCGACATATTCTTATATATCCTGCAGATGATAAGGCATTACTAAAAGAATTATAAAATACGTATTTGCAAAAAAAAACTAACTTTTCTTTATTTTAATAATATAGATATCTTCAATTAATTTATTCTATGCATTTATATATATATATATATATATATATATATATATATATATATATATATATATATATATATATATATATATATATATATATATATATATATATATATATATATATATATATATATATATATATATATATATATATATATATATATATATATATATATATATATATATATATATATATATATATATATATATATATATATATAAATGCATAGAATAAATTAATTGAAGATATCTATATTATTAAAATAAAGAAAAGTTAGTTTTTTTTTGCAAATACGTATTTTATAATTCTTTTAGTAATGCCTTATCATCAAGAATATCGCTTATTGTTAATGTAATTGTATTTTAAATGATTGCCATATAATATTTTACATAAACATGATTGTTTCAAAATTTAAAGGATTAAATATCGTGAAGCTTGAATTATTAATGTGGAAAGATCTAGCGATTTTTTTTCAAGAGAAAACTATAATTGCATGAGCGAAAATATATTATAAATTATTTTGTTTGATAAATGTTTGCAAGTTCTTAACTGTGTGGAAGGTTAATATATAAAATCGAAGACATATTCTTATATATCCTGCAGATGATAAGGCATTACTAAAAGAATTATAAAATACGTATTTGCAAAAAAAAACTAACTTTTCTTTATTTTAATAATATAGATATCTTCAATTAATTTATTCTATGCATTTTTTTATTTTTTAACAGATCTATTTGTATTTAGACAATATATGATAGATACATCAAATTATATTGAAGATTCCGCATATATCTTTGTTTTAATTTTTGAATATATAACAAAAATATCCATTTACAACAGTGCACCCATGGATAGTTATAATTAAAAGTTACGAAACAATATGCATCAAATGCTATAAAAAATATTTTTTTTTTGTTTGCGAAATTGTCATTCATATCTAATGTTTGACGGTATAACTTCAAAATAAGGCAATCGACATTTATTTCGATGGAGCAAATCCCACTTGGTTATTTCCCAGATCAAACACGGTATAATAAGGACCAATAAATACATCGCCCAGAATCCATAGATCTGAGTCCTCTCCCTGGAAGCCGCTTGAACATGTCACGGTGCCGTCGTCTGCCGTATCCTGCAAAAAATTAAATACATCACAATGCGAATACTTTATATTCTTAAATAATTTAAATCGAATTACAATCTATAATACTCACTTGAAGAATATAATCCTTAGGGGTAAGATTAAACGTCTTACCACTCAGAGCAAAACCGATTGGAGGCAATTTAGGAAGCTGATTGCAGTCCACCTTGAAACAAAAGGAAATCAAATTACTAATTAGTAATTTAACAAAATATTAATATATATTTAGTAACATTTTATGATTTTTTTATAGAAAGATATGCTATTGTGAAAAATATGTTTGTTTACTTACGTTTCCATTATTATCAGCTCCAATTAGTTTGTTAATAGAGTCGATAACGTCTGATGGTCCAACTATTAGTGAGGTACCCGTGTCAGCGATAGCTTGGGAGCCATTCGCGACGCTATTACCACCTACTAAGACACTATAGCGCAATAACGTTAAAATTTTGTTGGAACATAATCAATGTAATTAAAAAAAAAAAAAAGACATACCTATCCAAAGCAAATTGCCAATATTCTTTGCGAGTAACAGGAACATATGTGATATTACCATCGTAATGATCATGATCGATACCACCCAATATCAATTCACCACCTACTCCGGCTGAAGGGTCTCTGCATAGATTATATATTTTCTCAATATTATTGTATAATATAAATATATATATATATTTTTTTTTTATTAAAAAGATTTTTATAGATATGCGCTGTGCATATGAAAAGAAAATACGAACCGACTCAGATAGAAGCTGAAAACAGGTTCTGGCACTAGGCCTTGTTGGACTATATTGTTGAAAACAGGTGTCACTCCATCGACGGATATCGATGGATAGCCCATACCCAAGATACCGTCAAACTGCGCAAAAACGAATGTTAAGCCCGGCTCATTGATCGCTTCTGCGAATGTTTGGTTTTGAACATTGAGACCGGCAACCTATAAAAAATTATATTAATAATAAAATATCACGACGCACAATAATAACATGAAAATACTTAAAAATGTTTATAAACTATAATTGTAGTTGCAATTGTATTTGATTATTTGATTAAGGATGACTCACATTTACTACATCAGTAGATAAGAATCCAGTCAGACTGCCAGTGCCATACTGAATAGCAAACGAAGCGCCATTTGGTTGATATGTGCTGGATTTGCTACTATCGTATGTTTTATGAATGTCTGTAAAAAATAGTAAGTAATATCACAAGTTAGCAATATTAAAAAATTTTCAAAAATAAAAAATAATTTTATTGATCTTAATAAAGACTGCTTATTTGAATTATCAAATATAGCTAAATGCATACATTCGCCGTTTTAACTCATGAGTTATCTTTGCGTGTCAAAACTTATCTGCATCTTTAGAGAGTGAATGTGATAAATAGCAGAAATAAGTCTGTACATGTAAATTGTAAAGCTTGGTTTTGTGATATTTACATTATCAATAATTTTAATTTTTAAAATTGCATTTGTTCATCTCTTTTAAGGATTCTAAAAGATTATAATTGAAAAATATAATTAGTAGATAGAGTAAAAAATTGTATAACATTTATAATATCTTTTTAAATGTACGCTTTGATTTGGTATTAATTATTCGAAAATTTAAGATTTTTGTTAATATTTTTATGCAATAATTAATATTATTAAATATAATAATGTGCATATATAAATATTAAAATATTACATAAATAATAACATATTCGTAGTGCTTGTTCTGAGTGTTCATTAAATTGCACTTATTAATTGTAAGTACATAGCGATATTTTTTAGTGAGAAATATCGAAAAGTTCATAACCATTTTTAATGTTTAAAATGAAGGAGGAAGAATGGAATAAAATTCTTTTTAATTCGCTTTCTACTAGACAAACATACATTCATGTGTGTGAGCCACGTGAGCAGTTTAAAAAATATTGCTATGTACTTATGGGCCCAAATTAATTATTATCTTGTATATATTAAGGTACTTACCGCAAGCCAAATTCATAATGCTGCATTGTGCTGATGGTACCCAAAGATTTGAGGAACCAGTATCAAATAATATTGAAAAATTCTGCGGCGGAGTTCCGATACTGATATTACCATAGTACTGCGCGTCTAGATAATTACTCAAACGTTCCGGTGAAGTATGATTTACGGCCAAAACTTTTTGCACGTCGATACCAACTTTCTTCAAAGTTTTTCGAAAATGTCTGTAAAAAGTAGTAAGTAATATCACAAGTTAGCAATATTAAAAAATTTTCAAAAATAAAAAATAATTTTATTGATCTTAATAAAGACTGCTTATTTGAATTATCAAATATAGCTAAATGCATACATTCGCCGTTTTAACTCATGAGTTATCTTTGCGTGTCAAAACTTATCTGCATCTTTAGAGAGTGAATGTGATAAATAGCAGAAATAAGTCTGTACATGTAAATTGTAAAGCTTGGTTTTGTGATATTTACATTATCAATAATTTTAATTTTTAAAATTGCATTTGTTCATCTCTTTTAAGGATTCTAAAAGATTATAATTGAAAAATATAATTAGTAGATAGAGTAAAAAATTGTATAACATTTATAATATCTTTTTAAATGTACGCTTTGATTTGGTATTAATTATTCGAAAATTTAAGATTTTTGTTAATATTTTTATGCAATAATTAATATTATTAAATATAATAATGTGCATATATAAATATTAAAATATTACATAAATAATAACATATTCGTAGTGCTTGTTCTGAGTGTTCATTAAATTGCACTTATTAATTGTAAGTACATAGCGATATTTTTTAGTGAGAAATATCGAAAAGTTCATAACCATTTTTAATGTTTAAAATGAAGGAGGAAGAATGGAATAAAATTCTTTTTAATTCGCTTTCTACTAGACAAACATACATTCATGTGTGTGAGCCACGTGAGCAGTTTAAAAAATATTGCTATGTACTTATGGGCCCAAATTAATTATTATCTTGTATATATTAAGGTACTTACCGCAAGCCAAATTCATAATGCTGCATTGTGCTGATGGTACCCAAAGATTTGAGGAACCAGTATCAAATAATATTGAAAAGTTCTGCGGCGGAGTTCCGATACTGATATTACCATAGTACTGCGCGTCTAGATAATTACTCAAACGTTCCGGTGAAGTATGATTTACGGCCAAAACTTTTTGCACGTCGATACCAACTTTCTTCAAAGTTTTTCGAACAGAATCCGTCTTGTGCAATGTAATCCTTAAAGCAATATAAAAAACATTTTCTTACATGTATACATATACACACATATACATATATAATGTATAGTTATATTTTTACTAATACATAGAACAAACATTTTAAAAAAATATAAGTTATAGGGAATTCATAAATGTATATTTGTCACAAAAATCAAAATCACTATACATAATTTTAATATAAATACAAAAGATTATATTGTATAAGCATTATTATGTAACAAACTTTAATAAATTAAACCGATATTTTTTTTATTATAAAATTTTTACATTTCGTATATATCTGAAATATTATTTAATTTAAAGTCTAAAGTTTTATATTAAGGCATTACAATTTAACAGAGACTTTGAGTGTTAGTTAAAGATATCGTTGTATGTAATCTTAGATACCTAAAAACAAAGAGATGACTCGAAATTTTTTAGATGTGTAAAAACAAAGCGAGACGGATTAAGAAAGTGTAAACAGGCACTAGGTGAAAGAAGGACATAACTAAGCAGTCAGTCAGTCCCGAGCCCTCGCCGCGGCAAGACGAGTAAATCTATCAATACTAAATACACATTTGAAAGTTAAAAGCCTTTCCTGATTCCCATCGACTCCCGTCTTATAAATGACTGTATTTACTAAAAAAAGGGTATATGTGGAGATAGCGTCAAATAAACAAATAAGAAAAAGCAACTTACAAATATATAGTTCATCTGCTTACACGTCAGAAAATAGTTTACTATTAGAAATGTGATAAGGATACCGCGATAAATTAGACAATAGCGCGTGCTTCATGAATTCATAGAGAATCTTTTTTCAAAAACATTCTATTTTTATTTTTTTTATTAATAAACGAACACATACATTTTTGTATAAATAAATTTTGTCTAATTCTTAAAACGAATAATGAGTCTAAAGCGATTAAGACGCATATTTACAACTGAAACAGCGCAATATTCTCAAGTCATTCGTCCAGTCCGAAACCTTTCACACAAATCTGCGTGTCAAAAGGCGGAGGTAATCCTCGATTCTCATGTCGCGGACAATTCATGGCGGAATGATGCAGATTACGTCTATAAAGAAGCGATTTATATCAGAGGATGACGAGAGAGAAAGGTCCATGTTAGACAGTTGCAAGATTTACAAGTAACGCACGAGTCGACTGTATTCAGGCTGTGATCCTAAAGAATTAGACACACTGATTAAAAGCGGAGTAATGAGACACATCGTTAAAACGAAAACGGTGGCGGGGGGGGGGGGGGGATACAAAAACGTTGTTGACACTGACAACGGTGACGCAAAACATTAAAATTAAAAGAAAATATAAAGTGTCAATCTCGGAGAATAAATAAAAACAAAAGTAATAAATATAAAATGGTCCCAACAATATAAAGACAACAATACAAGAAGTCGTCGTTAAAGAAATAAAAGGTTGTCATGTACGGTAAATAAAAATAAAAATAAATATAGCGCAAAAATAAATGTTGTCGCCAGATAAACAATATCGCAGATAGTTACATATAGAAGTAAGTCAGAAACGGTAAAATGTGAAAAAATTCTTAGAAATTACAACGGACTGTATACATAATAAATAACAGATGTCAATTATGATACAATAAAAATAAAAATAAATAGGGAGACATAATAAAAAGTCAGATGGTAAAATAGTCAAAAATAAACAATCATGTACGGAAATTAAAATTGATAAAAAATAAAAAACGCAATAAAATGAACTATTATCACTAGATAAATAGTGTCGCAAAAAGTTGCATAATTTGTCAAAACGATACAGTATGAAAAAATCTTAAGAAATACAAAAGAACATACTATATCTCCATAATAAATAACCAATGTCAATTATAATACAATAAAATTAAGGAGACATAACAAAAATCAAATATAATAACTTAAACAGTATAATATGACAGAAATCAGATTTTAGAAAGTTTGTCTAGAACCGTCAAATACGCTTCTGGAAGGCATTCGGTGTCTGTTTGTAAATTTAAGCTATCTTTTTGTCTTTTAATGTGTAGGACTTCTGAGATCAATCGCTTATGTAAATGAGGTTCATAGTCCAATATTTCAACTCCATCCCACTTGAAATCATGATTAAAAGTGGTTCTGTGATCAGTTATAACAGAGCGATTAGTCGTATTTCTCCGGATGTGGTTTCTATGTTCCCCTATTCTCGTATTTAGTTGTCTCTTCGTCTGTCCAACGTAAGACGCCTCACAATTATCACAATTGATTTTATAAACAACGTTATTGCGACTCGATGGAGAGCAAAAATCTTTATGCACCTTAATAAACTTATTCATTTTATTAAGACTGCGATATGAGAGTTTCACATTTAAGTCTTTGGTTATTTTTTTAAATTGTTCCGATATTGAAGGAACGTAAGGTATTGTAAAGTACGTACCTCTTTCAAGTTCTTCTCTCCTTGTTTATCGTTGTCAGAATTAGAGCTGATATTGTGAAACAGAGTTTTGAGACGTTCACGAAAGACATCAAAAATAAAATTGAGAGGATAACATTTTTCCAACAGAATAACAATGACAAATTCAAAGTTTTTACGGTGGAACATAGGATGAGACAATCGAATCACTCTGTCAATTAAACCGATGACAGTACCTCTCTTTTGGCAAAGAGGGTGGTTGAACAAAAAATGTAAATATCTCCCTGAAAAGGTGGGCTTATGGTACCAATCAAAGGTCAGATGATTATCGTTTAAAAACATGGTGACATCCAGAAAATCAAGTCTATTCTCCTCCCAAATCTCAATAGTAAATTGCAAACGTGGGTGGAAAGTGTTGAAAATGTATAGAGTATGATTGAGAAGGGTAGAGGGGACCGCCAATGCAATGTCATCCACATATCTAACAAAAAAAAGTGGGGTAAATTTCAAGGACTCAAGAGCTTTGGATTCTAGGTCTTGAGAACAATGTCCGCGATGATGGGGGACAATGGAGAATCCATGGAAATGCCGAATGTTTGCTGATAAATTAATCCATTGAAAGTGAAAAAGGTTAAATCTAATATTAGTCTGATAGCAGAAAGGAATTTGAAATGTGATATATTGCAATTATTAGAGATGTAATTCCACCTTGAAGATACACTGTCAATCGCCATCTTAACAGGGATGTTAGTAAATAAGGAAATTACGTCTAAAGAAATGAGACAGAAATCATTGTTGATATATGTATCGGAAAGTTTTTTCACTAGATCAAAATTATTGTTAATGTGACTGTGTGCAGTAGGAAAGCTTTTGAGTAATATGCTATGAATGAAGAAGGCTAGATTGTATAAGGGGCTATTAAGGGAGGAAACAATTAAACGGAAAGGAGGCCATATGCTCTTGGTAAAATACCGTCGCTGAAATTGAGAAATCTGTAAATTGTAGAAGGTATGAAATCAGAATCTCTCCATCTCTTTAGCAAATCACGTAGGCGTGAAGTAAGCTTTTTGATAGGATCTTTTTTAACGATGATATAAGTGTTGTTATTTTTCAATAACTCTTCAATCTTATTGAAGTATTTATCCTTATCGAGAGCAACAGTGATGTTACCTTTGTCGGCCCGAGTGACAATCAAATTATCATCATGTTTAAAAAATTTTTTGGTGGTAATAATTAATTGTTTCATACGTGTGTTAATTGCCATTACTTCGGTATTGTGATTTTATTCGTTGAGAGCCTTAATTTTACATCTTTGTTTTTTGTTATTTTAAGTTTCCTTTTTTATTTATGCGAACACAAAACTGTCCACTCGTTTTTTAATCATTTTTTGTCTTTATAAATATATGCTCTTGCCCTCTTACCAATCTTATCGAAATATTGCTTGTTTCCAATGCGACTTCGAATTAAAAATGCAGACGATGTTTTAAAATAAATCAATGTTTCAAAAGTAGATTAAAAGAAGAAAGATCAAAATATATTAATTATATTTAAAAAATATACATATATAGAAGCGTTGATTAATCGTCTTATTCTATTTGTAAGTAAAATTTATTTTTTAATGAAAAATCTTAAAATATATTATTTATTTCGCAATTTATATTTTCGTTTTATTATTTTTATACAATTTTTTATATCTTATAAATTTTTAGAAAAAATTAATTAATAAATATAATTGAAAAAATTTGATCCATTTCGAAAATAACGGAGAGAGAGTTGTATAAGTTCTATAATGCATAAATATATTAGCTGTAATATTCTTTTCAATGCAATTTATCTTTAAAGAGAAAGACATATTATAGTAAGAATTTTGCTTATTGTTAATGTAATTGTATTTTAAATGATTGCCATATAATATTTCACATAAACATGATTGTTTCGAAATTTAAAGGATTAAATATCGTCAAGTTTGAATCATTAAGGTGGAAAGATCTAGCGATTTTGTTTCAAGAGAAAACTATAATTGCATGAGAAAAAATATATTATAAATTATTTTGTTTGATAAATGTTTGCAAGTTCTTAACTGTGTGAAAGGATAATATATAAAATCAATACATTGAATACACAAAAAGATTATTTTATTTTTAACAGATCTATTTGTATTTATACAATATATGATAGATACATCAAATTATATTGAAGATTCCGCATATATCTTTATTTTAATTTTTAAATATATAACAAAAATATCCGTTTACAACAGTGCACCACATGGATAGTTATAATTAAACATTACGAAACAATATGCATCAAACGCTATAAAAAATATTTTTTTTTTATTATTTGCGAGATTGTCATTCATATCTAATGTCTAACGGTATAACTTCAAAATAAGGCAATCGACATTTATTTCGACGGAGCAAATCCCACTTGGTTATTTCCTTGATCAAACACGGTATAATAACGACCAATAAATACATCGCCCAGAATCCAAAAGTTTATACCAGAAAGTTTCTGGAAGCCGCTTATACATGTCGCGACGCCGCCTTCTTCATTCTGCAAAAAATTAAATACACAGTGCGAATACTTCATATTCTTAAGCCCACTTTACACGATCTATAATTTG